CAATGGCTGCATTGCCATTACCTCCATGATCTTTTAGGCGTTCAGGGCACACCTTTCTTATGTGACCCTCCTTCTTACAGTGATAACATCGAATACTAGATGTTTCGCCACTATAAGACTTATGTTGACTTTTACCTTTCTTCTTGTCGAACTTACCATCCTTTCGCAAGAATTTTTCCTTAACGGCCAAACCTTCGCCCACCGTCGAAGGTTTATGCTCCTTTCGTTCGTTCAAGTCCTTAGAATACAAGGCTGATTGAACTTCTTCAAAGGTCAGGGACTCCCTTCCATACAAGAGAGTTTCTTTGAAGTGAGCATGTGTTCTGGGCAAAGCACACAGCAGCAACAGTGCTTGATCTTCATCATCGATCTTCACATCAATATTTTCAAGATCAAGAATCAACTTGTTGAACATATCCAACTGCTCAGCCAACACTTTGTCTTCACTCATCTTGAATGAATATAAAGCTTACTTCAGGTATAGTCGATTCACCAGAGATTTGGTCATGTACAAACTTTCAAGTTTCACCCATAATCTCGATGTTGTAGTCTCCTTTGATACCTGTCGAAGAACCTTATCACCAAGGCTCAACAATATTGCGCTGTGGGCTTTCTCGATCATGCCCATCTTTTCTTTTGCCGTTAGCGCAGCGTCCATGGCTGCCTCACCCTTCAACGCTTCCAAACAACCCTGCTGAACCAATAGGGCTTTCATCTTTAAGCGCCACAGACCGAAGTCGTTCACTCCGGTGAAACTTTTCAATCTCATACTTTGTTGAAGGCATCTTCTCCACGCTCACCGCACCAATTTGTTGTGAATCGGGTACCGTTAAACAAAGTATAAACGGTTTCTTATCAAGAAACACACAAGGGTTAGGGTTAATAAAGAAGAAAGCAACAAGGAACAACAAGAATTGGTTATTAAACTGCTATTCTTTCCTTTCTCTTAGAACAAGATTACAAGTATACAAGAATAACAAAATAACCTCTCTCCCTTGAAATTAGGATTTTATCTTCCTATTTTTCCTTTTGCCAAGATTGAGAAACTAGCATCCTATTTATAATGAAATAGCACACTAACCTAATGGGCTTTTTAACAATTACCCATTACAAGTTAACTTATGGTACAAGCTAACTTAAACAATTGGGCTTACAAGCAAGACCCAATTCAACATGCTAACAACCCTAGCAATATTTACTAATGCATGTTAGAACAAACTTCGACTACAACACGCATTACTCGCGAACAGACTTCGACTATACTAGAGTTCGATCCAATATCTCACAGTTATCTTTAAGACATCAATTTTTTAAGAAAACAAGATTTAGATTGCAAAAACATATGACATTTTACCTATATTGTCATTCATAAGCAACACCTATCTTCCAATGAAATTTTAAATAAAAAGAAAAAATATAATATAATATAAAATATTAAAAACTATTAATAATGACTTACATCATACAAAAGACTTAATATTAACTTAAACTCAATACTAAATTAAAAACAAATAGTAATAATAAGAGATATGTAAAATATTCTAAAATTACAAAGTCATTGTAAAAAATAAAATTAGCTTAAAATACTCAATTATAATAATAAATATATGATACAATATTTTATATCCTAACCATCCTCAACAATCAAACTTGGTAAATCAATGATTTTTCCTCTTCATCTTTGATGGTGTTAATCATAAGAGCCACTTGGTTCATACTTGGCCTAGCCTCTAATGAACTATTAACACATCTTATAGCCACTTGAAGCATATTAACCATTCTCTCTTCACTTGCATACTCTGCCAACAAACACCTATCAAACACTTCACCTGTCCATTCTTCTCTCACAACTGATTGAACCCAATCAGTCAAGTCAATACCATTATTCTTCACCAGTTTTCCAGTTAGAAGTTCAAGAAGAATAACACCAAAACCATAAACATCTTCCTTGAATGCAAGAGTTGAACTTTGTTGATCATCCTTAGGCATAGTGCCATACTCACTAATACAAGGCTCCATGTTTTTGTTTATCAGAATGTTTGAGGATTTCATGTTTCCATGAATGATACCTTGTTGACTAAGCTCTTGATGCATGAAAGCTAATGCTTCTGCTATTGTTGATGCAATTCCAAGCCTGCTGCTCCAATCAAAGGTTTTTTTTGAAGTGCCTGAAAGCATATCTTGCACTTTAATAGCTAGCTCATATTAAACCAATAAAGAAAATGTAGCATGTATAAAAACAAAACAAAAAAATAAAGATTTAACCTTTGTTGGTGAAAATTTGAATTCTAAGAGTGTGCTCCTCTCAAAGTTTTAGGTTTGAATCTTATTAAATGTTTACAATTCTTATGTTGGGTGAGTCTATACAGTGTTTTGTTATGGTCTTTAATGGGTTCCCGCTAGTGGATGGTGGGATTGATCCCTCTGGAATGGCTTGTTGGTGAAGGTTTGAGTCCTGAGAGTGTGCTCCTCTCAAAGTTTCAGGTTTGAATTATGCTAGATGCTAACAATCCTTATGTTGAGAGTGTGCTCCTCTCAAAGTTTCAGGTTTGAATCATACTAGATGCTAACAATTCTTATGTTGAGTCCGTCCATATAGAGTTTTATTCTGATTTTAAATGGGTCCCGCTAGTTGACAGTGAGATTGGTCCCTTTAGATTGGCTTGGTGGTAAAGGTTTGAGTTCTAAGAGTGTGTTCCTCTCAAAATTTCAAGTTTAAATTCTGCTATGTGCTATGGATGGGTCTATATAATATAAAGTTTTGTTCAGGTTTTAAATGACCCCCTCCAGTCTCAAGGCCGGATAACAAATTTTCAAAAAATAAATAAATAAGAATTTAGTATTTAAAATTTACCATGTAAAAGCTTGAACAAACTTCCATTATGCTGATATTCATAGACCAAAAGCTTCTCTTGTTTGTTACAATAGAAAGCAAGAGGTGGCAGAACATGAGAATGCTTTGCTTGATTCAACAGTTGCATTCTTTTCTTGAATTCATCACTAGAAATACTCCAATCCTTAATCCTTTTTACAACCACTACTATTCCATTTGTTAGCATCACTTTATAAAGACTTCCATTGTTTCCTCTCCCAATCATTTCAGCAGGTGCTCTCAACAACTCCTCCAGTTTTAACTCATTCACCACTGGCTTTGAAAGAACAATAAGTGATTGTTGTGAGACCATTCCACATTCAGAGGACATTGAAAATCCTGATTTGCTTGCATCTTCTGCTTTGGATTCACTCGAAACATAGCTCGGTTTTTCGATATCATCATTCGGCGATGCTTTAACTTTTTTTCCACTCTTCTTGCTTCTGCATATCTTCAAGAATACAAAAAGGATTATGATAACACCTAATGCAGCATAGCCTGAATATATTAAAATCTGTTCTTTGGAAGGCGCTTTTGATTCTTCTTCTTCTGATGTTTTACTAACAGTACTATTCTGAATCTGACTAGTACAATTTTTCTGTAGTGGATATCCACATAGTTCTGGATTACCAAGAAAACTGTCTGCAAAGAAATGACCTTGCACATCTGGAATTTGGCCACTGAAATTGTTAAAAGAAACATTGAAACGGTCAAAGTTAGGGAAATAAAAAGCCGGGATGTTTCCGCCGAGATTATTGTTTTGTGCTAGGAACATATTGAGGCCTGAGATTCTAGCTAGGTTTGGCAACGGCCCCGAAAACTTGTTGTTAGAAAGGTCTAATCTTTTCAAATTGTTCAACATGGCGAGGGAAGCAGGAAGGTCTCCGGCGAGGTGGTTTCCACTAACGTGAAGACGAGTGAGTTGTTTGCAGTTTCCGATCTCGGATGATATTCCGCCGCTGATGTTGTTGTCGTCAAGACTAAGAAAGGTGAGAGATGCAGCTAGAGGCTGCGTGTTACAGAGAAAGGAAACATTAAGAGTTCCAGACAAATTGAACCTGTAAAGATCCAACCTCTTTATAGACATTTGAGCATCACAGGATACACCATTCCAGTGATCCTTGCAGGGATCAGTGTCTGGTTTCCAATTCAAAGTAGAATTGTTATTCTGCTGGCCCTTGAGTTGTGTCAGGAACTGTATTAATGTTGTCTTCACCACATCATTCTCACAACTAATCATGTTTAAGAGGAAAATGGGTAACACCAAGAAGACTAACAAGATATTGGAGGTTATTTTCATTTTAGCAGAACAAGGGTTTGATGCAATTTGTGTTTTTTTCTTTTTTGATAGAAACGGAACTGGTCCAATTGGCTGATATTACAATGACAAGTTGATTTATAATCATAAAGCCGTCCTGCTAAAACTAATATTTGACAAATATAGGCCGGCAGATGGAACTAGTAATGTCATCACATTCTCAGTTCCTTTCATTTGGCCAGCATATTAACATCATGATTTAGACAATAGTTGGAAGACTTTTTTGAAAGCACAATTTTTTATTGAAAATTAATCTGATTTTGTTTGTTTGATAACAACATCAGAAGGGTTGGATGAATCTACTTTCTTTTCATAGCAAAGGCTGCAAAAGTTCTGATTCATTTAGACAAACAAAAAATCCGTTCTCTAAATAAATTCTTCAACTCAACACGTTGGTTACAAATACCACAATATTATTATATTAATACAACATTCTTAGTAATATTCATACAAAATAACAAGTAGGTCTGTGAAAAGTTAAGCAATACATCTATGAACATTGAACAAAAGTATAATTATGTCAAACTTCGTCCTTTCACAAGGGCGTGATGCGTGAGGGTATCCTTTCATGAGATCTTTGCCATTTGGCTTCCAAAAGGTATAGAGTTTGCAACAATGCTGCACAGATTAAAACAGGAACAGTAACCCTGCATATCACATTAGTTTTCTTGCCAATCAAGTCCACCATCCTCTGTGCAACAAATTTTTCTACTTAATATATAAGGCACTCCCATAGCCGAAAGGATCTTCTGGCCTTCCGAAATGAAAACTGATCAGCTTTGTAAATTCACATAGTTGACACTTACAAAATCAAGTAAGGGATTTTCCAGCCCATTCCCGTTCCCGTCTCTTTTGTTTGGCTTGCATCTTATTGAACTTCTCTTTCCCCTTTTCCAAAAGAGGATCAAGCACAACATAATCATTTGGATCCTCAGTGCGAGCCATGCGGTCCTGCATATGCAGGAAACGTTAAGACGGCAGAAAAGCAATAATTGTGTTTGATCAGTAAAGACAACTCAATGCAAAAGGGACTCATGTAAAAAAGAACTAAACCGGTGGTTAGAGTTCAGAAATGAACTATTTCAAAATATGAAATTAACGTGTCTCAACATATGAGCCCACAGATTTCAACAATATTCTGCATTTAAAACTCAAAAGATAGGTAAGCCGCACGAATGTTTATGGAAAATTAAATGATTTCATATCATGGAATGGAAAGAGGAATCTAACCTTGCCAGTTGTGGGGGAAAATTTTAAGCCAACACTTCTCCAGTCAGATAATTCCTCACCACTAGCATGTTTAGATTCAACAGTTGTGGGTGTCTCCTTTGCTGATTTAGTGGTTTTAAATTTTTCAAGTTTTGCCAGAACCTGAGGATAGAGAAGAATAATGATTGAAAGTACCCATATATGCCCAAAATAAGCCCACATGTGATTATAAATTATAAACTTCAAACAAAGCATGAACATCATCATAAGAACGACTTCAAGTTTATACTCATTGCTACACTACTCCCACCCTACTGGTCTCCTTTGACAAAAGAAAATTTTAAAAGAACACCACTTCCAAATAGTGAGCTGATTGTAATAATAATTAGTAATTATTCTTTCTGTTGTTATTCTTTTTCCTTATATTTTGACCGACTTTCATAGTTACTAAATGATAGCCTGGGCTGATTGGTTAGAACCTAAATTATTGGGATCACAAAATGTTGTTCTCTTGTATATAATGCAAAAAATATTCAGATTCCATTCAAGTTGATATTTCCTACGAGTGCCTGCCGACATAACGAAGCCCCAAAGATTGCTCCTATTATTTATTTTCATGTTTCAGGTATCACGTAAATTCCTTCTTCCACTAATCCACCAGAAATTTAAGCTAACCTACCTATTTAACTATAATCTATAAAGGTTATCGTTGTAAATCCTAATCCCCATGCCATCCAGAATGATGAAGACAATGACTGATGAGATGATCGTCAAGGAATCCGATAATAAATGGACCATTGTTCCAACTCCTCTTTGGATAGAAGTAGATCAATCAAAGACTGGTTTCAATATTTTTCAAAGAATGGTTTCAATATTTTGGAAGAGACAAGGATCTTGTTGATATTCCTGAGGGCCCAAGTGTAAAGCTTCTACCTTATCATATGGAGTCTTATCATAATCCAAGCTGATATATAAGATTAGTTTGGAAGTTAAATTATCTCAACATAACTAGACTAAATTAGTTGGGCAGAAGATATAGAAGATTGGCCTAATAGATTAGTATTCATTCTTTCTTCCTGTTATTGTTTCCTCTTAGTTTTTGATAAACTATCAAATTTATTATAAATAGTCTATAGGCTGATTGATTTGATCCAAAAATCCAGAAATGTGAAAATCTTTTCTCTTGTATATTTATTTGTACCATTCTTTGTAAACAAGACAAGAAATGTTCAGATTCAATTCAAGTCAGTAAAAACACAAGTTATGTCGCTGACACAGTAATATTCCCTCTCAAAAATGGGAAATGCCATGGAACATTGATTTGGCATATCAACATAAGCTCAACCCACTCGGTCATTTCTTTTTTTCTTAATCAATAAATTTAAAGCCAGATGTTCTTCCATATCATTTCAGATCATCAGTCTAGTTACTATGCCCTGTTGATCATATGTCTGGATAGTCAAAAACATTCTAGCACTTCAGATGGCAGAAAGGAAACGATGGGAATAAAAAAACAGCAAAAAGTATAAATAAACAAATAAAAATCACAACATACTTCATCTTCACGCCCTTGAAGTCTGCGTTTCTTCTGCTTTTGCAAATGTCTTCCTCTCTCAGCTTCATTCAAAAGCTGCATATCTGTATCTGCATTAGCCATTCGTTCAGCTCTTGCTTCGGATCCTATTCCCTTTTTCTTCATGGACAGCTTTTCCACTCTTGGTTGATCCTCCTCGTCAGCACTTACAGAATTGGACCTGGCAAGAAGTTATTCAACCATTTACCAAATCGATCAGAAACCAGTAATAATGGTAAGACTCCTATAAAGTTCACATATGTAGGACATCCAATAGATATCATAAACTCCATATTTGGAAAATTATTATACAACTGTAGTATATATATTCTATAAGCAAACTTCACAGGTAGTAAGCCAAACTAGAAGCCATTTTTAAAAACTTCAATTGGCAGATAATGCTTCTCTAAATATATAATGCTAGATAGTGGCAGCTTCCAAGTGCCAGAGCAGAATAGGGACCACTAGACTGAAGTGGATTTCTAAGGTCATGTGCCAAGAATTTGAAATCTCCAACAATTTTTAAGAAAAATCAAGTGTCAGTGATTTTATAAGCAAATAACATCCTGACATTTATTAATTTTTTTTTACTTATTCTCTAAAATTTGGAGAATGAACTACAAAACCATTTTGATCTTTAGGAACTATTAATCTTGTATAAGACTAAGCACATGAAAAGTTCCCTGTTTGAACTTGATGTGACATCCATCCAACTAAAGACATCTAAAAGTTGCTTCAACCTTGAGTCCTACATGGCCACAAGTTCAACTAGTTAAGTTCCCCACCATGTGCATAGGGAAACAGAGATCTAACCATACAATTTAAAAGCCGTAAGTTTGTTTAATGCCATATGCCCATAAGTTAAACCATCACTGTTCAAATGTTAGTACATTGACACTTTTGTGGCAACAGCTAACAGATATTCATGTTCTAAATGTTGAAACTATTACCTAGCTCTTGACACAGTATGTTTCTCTGGACTGGACCTCGACCTTCCTGCATATGAAAATGATAAGATACCGAGCTTCACATTACAACAATGTTTTTGAATAAGAAAAATATAAAAAAGGAATGAGATATTATTATCTGTACAAAGAAATTATTTAGAATGCTGGAAGTTTGATGATTACAGCATTCACAATATTCACATTCCACATCAACTAGAGATAAGGCAAAAATAATCCTTCTAAGGTTTAGACAAGCTACTTATTGGGTTTGAATTAGACCAAGTCCAAATTTGCTGTCAAGCAACCGCTCAGTAAATCGGTTTCTAGCTCAAACTCCTCTGTAAATATTGTTAATTATGTTCCTATTTCTTGCTTTCCACATGTATAGAATTTACATTTACATATAAATAACAATGTTTCCCACACATAGTTCCACTTTATTGTCTATGTGGCGCAATAGACATGGAAACCCCAACACTACTGTACTTTTTGATGTACTGAAGTGAAGCAAAATAGTATCTCAAATCTCAATTTCTAATATGAAAGAAGTAGATTGTGTGAAATGTTGTATGGGAAAATCCCACTGACTCCCTTTTATACTGTTGAATCAAAACCAATTGAAATTAATGTTCTGTGAACTATGGGGATTAGTCTATAATAGTGGCCCAAAGGGCCTAAGCTGTGGCCTGTGGGGATACTCTAGGGCGCCTACTGGAGGCTAAAGGCCCTAACTACGGTTGGTTAGCAAAAAAATAGATAAACTGCTAGTGTTTAATATTATCGTATCAAATCATAATCATCAATCATATCAAAATAAATTGGAAGGAGAGGAAGCAAAGGAAGTAGTTAGAAGGGGGTATAACAGAAAGCCAAGTGGCAACTGACAAGTGGAGTGAGAGATGGAAAAGATTTATATATAATGGAGAGGTGGGGATTCATAGGTGTGGGAAGGAACTGGGCTGAGCAGAGAGACCTGTTCTCTATCAGTTAGAGATGGCATATTTCATTCTATTTGGATCATCTTGCAAGGAGTTTATCTCCATTCCATAGTTCCCGATTCACTTTCTTTTGTTGGATCATGCTTTTCCATATTGTAAGAAAGGCATTCATCCCTTGTTTACAGTGAATTGCAGTACAGTTACTTTTATATTCTTTTTGTGTACTTGGTTCTATCAGATTTATAAGTTAAAAGCTTACCTAATCTCATTGATAGTAAGCATTAATTCATTACCCCTATGATATTTATATTTAAAGCAATATAGTTTGTGACACTTTGATTTGCTTTTATAGTTTGTTGAGAAATGTGGTTGGGCCTAACTCAACCCTACAAAACCGGTTTGAAGGGTGAGGATTGCCCCTGCTTATAAGCACATGTACAGATCATATATCGTCCGACGTAGGACTCTTAACACACCCCCTCACCCCCAAGACTGGACATTTGGAGCGTGGAAATAAATGGTGGGTGGCCCAATAGCGGAAACTTGATTGCAAATAGCCCACCAGATCCTAAACCAGGCTTTTGATACCATGTTGAGAAATGTGGTTGGGCCTCTCAACCCTACAAAACCAACTTGTAAGATGAGGATTGTCCCCACTTATAAGCACATGTACATGCCATATATCCTCCGATGTAGGACTCTTAACATAGTTCATAGTAAACATAAAGATACAATATGCCATAAAAAATTATCAGTATTTCATTAAATTGTTCTTGTAGTATTAACATCTTCCAACTGTTTTCTCATTTGTTAAGACTACCGTTTTATGCCATTGAAATATAAATATTCCCATGCCAAATGTCATTTTTACAACTTGATTCTACCTAACATTGGGCTTTCACAATTTCCTAATTCTATTTTCAGAATGTTCACCATTACTATATGCTGGTGAGGCAAGCATTATCACAAGAGGGAGAAGTTTGATTCCATAAAGTTGACATTTTAAAAATAATGGGTTAAGTTAAGGAATAGAGATAAGATGAATTACTACTGAATGTTTGTATTGATGAAAATTGGTAATGGAAAAACAAAAGAAAATCGGGAAGAATATATCAACCAACCCTAGCCAAAATGACTCTCTTACCAGAAAACATTATCAATGATCCATCTCTCTCCTATAACAGAACTCACTCATAATAACTCTCTCATACAACCCCTTATTATCTCTCTCTTGTAACAGAATTCATCATACCTCCCCTTATTCCTAATATAACCAACTCTCCCACAACTGTCATTTCCCTGCCAGCTCAGCCTCCTCATTCTTCTTAAAACGCTTCCTATAGTAAACATGTCATATAGTGGTCCTAGCTACATTACTTGGCGGCAGCTGGCCCAACTCCCCATCACGGTTCCTATCACAAAGCACCTTAAGTTACCCAAACAATTGGCAATATATTAATCTTCGATTGGGATGTCAAGTAAAGAAACATGGCAATCTAAAAGTTACTCTAACAACACGGTGTAAAAGTCACATGCTCATGAAAATTCCACGGTAGAACCAAACCCTTTCTTAATCAGAGGTAGAGATTTTATAAGCTACAATGTACAATATGAAAGGTAAATTAAGTACCATTTTGCATCTTTGGTTTGGGAGGGAGATCATCCAGTTCCTTCCGCTTTTTGAGTATTTGCATGCGCATTCTTGAATCAAAATCTGCTTCATCGTCATCACTGGAATCAACATGAGACAATTTATCAGCTCCAGAATCTTTCCGAGGCTCTTCTTTTTTTGTATTAAGTGCACCCCTTACAGATAACTGCAGATCCCTTTTTAGTTTACTGTCAGATGAACTCTGCAAAATTAATAAAAGAAAGCTTATATGTGTGGTCATTTGATGTAACATTTATGCTATTTAGTTTACTGTTAGATGAACTCTGCAAAATTAATGCAAGAAAGCTTATATGTGTGGCCATTTGATGTAACATCTATGCTCTTAGGTTTTTATTAAATATGAACTTTCAGAGGGGAATTATAAAATAACTGCATAACAATCTAACTCTGGGAGCTGTAAGCCAAAAACAGCTTTACATAAATCCCTAAATTATAGATAGATGGAATTATAAAAAATTGTAATTATAAGCTACAAGGTGTCAAGCAAGAAAGTTGTACGAGAATCGGAAGGAAAAACTAGATGCAAAGGCTTTATTACCAATTCATTAGTAGCATTTTCATCCTTTAGAAGACGAGGATCGTTCAAGACATCATGACTGCTCACAATCTTTTTCTTCACCAAAGTCAATTCTTTTTCCTCTTCTTCAGTTTCTTCCCCAAATGAAAGCAAGTTCAAATTTCTGCAATTTAAATTTGCAACAAAAACATAATAAAAATAAGCAACCTATTGCATTCCATCAAGTTCTAAGAAGACACTTATCATAGGGAGAAAGGAGCTCTCACTTTACACCTTTCCTCTTTGCATCTTTATCATCTGTATCACGTGTAGCTTTAGTCTGAGGTTTCTGAAGTGTTCTTGGAACAATGTCTTCAAATGGGTTCCACAACACCTAAACAACCAAATGGTTTAAGAATACACTAAGAATGTTATATAATCTCCCTTCAAATGGATTCCTCAATACCTAGAACAACCTCTTCAATTAACTTTCATGCAATGATAATCAAAATCACAAATCCACAATATACCTCAACAGATAATATCTTTGGGGCTGGATCTAAAGGCCGGTCACTCTTATCAGTCTCAACTTCACCAAGTCTCAACAGATTATACATTGTATCTCCTGTCACCTAAAAACAAATAACAGCTACAACAATCAATTCATTGTGTGCGTAACAAACACAACATACTACTAGGGTTTTAAATAAAGGTCCACAACAGCCATCTGAGGCACAACATAGTAGCAGTTTTCTATTTCGTCAAAACCAAGATAAAACCAATGTAGTCAAGCACGAGATCATTAATAGGATCGGTCGGCTTGTGAAAAATTGTAAAACTAGGATAGTTAGCACAACACGTAAGATACTACCGAAGAGAAAAATGGTAATTTCATACATATATATATACACAAACATACACAAAAACATGAAAATTATAATACAAACACACAAAAAAAGCTCCAACACATTTTTTTACGATCTTGCTTCAAAAAGCTCGATCTTGACCATGCCGGCGACAAAAACGATCTTTCTCTGATCCCATCACTCTCAGGCATCCTTAGCACATAAGATCATAAGATCTTACGATCCAGCACTCGATCTTGACTACTCTAGATACAACTGCGATTGAGGCTGCATTGGCCACATTTGACCACAATATTGAGGACCGCAATCATGACCACTATTTAAACCCTGCATACTACCACTACTAACTCTCCTCCTCAATGGCTATAATAACAATGAGAATAATTTGGCTACATAAGCATTGCAATTGCATCATTTACCTTTCCGAAAATGGTATGCTTCCGATCAAGCCAATCACACCGGTCAAGAGTAATGAAAAACTGACTTCCATTAGAATTAGGGGTTCCAGAATTAGCCATTGCAACCAAACCTCTATGCTTGAATTTAATCCGCGAATGAAACTCATCAGCAAAAACATCTCCATAAATACTTTCACCTCCTACAATAATCAAACAATTCCTTTCCGTTTCATTCCCATATTAAATATAAAAAATAAAATAAAATAAAAACTAAAAAAAACTAAAACCCTAAACAATCAATCAGAAGAAAAATTGAGAAACAAAACAACGGTTACTGAATTTCAATTAAGTACCGGTGCCTGTTCCAGTGGGGTCGCCACACTGAACGAGGAACTCTTTGATAACGCGGTGGAAGATGGTGTTGTCGTAGTAACCTTCGAGGCAGAGCTGAACGAAGTTCCTCACGGCTTTGGGAGCTTCTTTAGGCCATAGCTCGATGTCGATAGGGCCGCGCGTTGTGTTCACGACCACTTTTCCCTTTGTCGGCGGTTCCAACACGTACACCGTCGACATCTTCTTCTTCTATTGCGATCGCTCCACCGGAGTAACCACTGGTTTTGATTCTGCGGGTTTGTATATTGTGGATTATTTCAATTTTACGGACCCAAGCAAAATCAAATTTACATTAAAAAAATATATTTATTCCCGAACTCTTTAAGTTAATTTAATATTGGGCTTTAGTCTTTTTAATTAAAAAATGTTACAAATTAATTGTTTAAATTCATTTCTCTTAGTTTATTTAGTCTTTTTGTCAAATTCTGAACAAAGAAATGTTAAGTTAGGATGACTTGTTCAAAGATTTGATGGAAATAATTTAACGAAGTAAATTTAAGGGACTAACTTATAACTATTTTTAATTAAAAGAGTAAAATGAAATATTAAATTAAATTAAAGAGCTAATACATATTATTATACAGTAAAATAGAAATGACCTAACAGTGATTTGCTGTAGTCAGAAAATCTTTGCGGTTGTACAGTAAAACGGAAATGAGCAACACGATTCTGATTTAAGATTAACATTTTTTAATTATTATATAAAAAGTAATGTTATTTTTTTAGACCATCTGATTAAGATTGATTTTTTTACCACAATAACTATGTTATGATCCAATTTATCGGAACAAACCATGTTTCCATCATAAATTTCATGATATCTAATTTTCAAAAAAAAAAAATTTACACGTATAAAGAGTATAAAAAGATGTTTTAACTTGTCAACCCCACACTTGTATCTGACACCTCTCATTTATAACACTTTTATCATTAAACATTTTTGTAAAAGCCGGAGTTTTTTTTTAATTTACCTGTTTTTGTTGAAAATTTGTTGTCACTATCGAAAATTTTTTAATTTTTCATTTTTTACCAAAATTTTATGAAATTTCCTTTAAAAATAAATATTTTTGAAGAATACCGGAATTTTTAAAAAAAAAATTCAAAATTTTCGAAATATTTTTTACACTACTGGAAATTTTGAAATTTCCGGTAAACTACAAGACTTTTTGAAATTTTCAGTAAATTACAGCACTTTTCGAAATTTCCAATATTGTTAAAAAAATTATTGAATATGAATTATCGAAAATTTCACTTTGGTTGAAACTTTTGGTATAAAATGAAACATTTAGAGTTTCTGGTAATATTTATCAGTTCACGTAAATTTTAGAAATTTCGGTATACCAGAAATTATAAATACACTATCAGAAATTTAGTGTGTACCTGAAATTATGACTTGCCTACAGGAAATTTCGTACAAAAATTCGTTTCAAATTTTTTTCAGGGGTAGTTTGGTTCAAGTGGGGGTGGTAAGTTACAATCTCATATAAGGGGACGTCAATCGAATTAAAATCCCCTTTAAAATTTGTGAGGGAGAGCCAATTGGAATAAAGTCCCCTTTAGAATTTGTGAGGAGGCACCAATTAAAATAAAGCCTCCTCTTAAATTTCTATGGGGGCGCCAATAGGAATAGAGTTTCCTCTTCTTGAATTATTTATTTAATTTTTAATATATATTATATTATATAAATTGTAGAGTTTATTATTAGTTTAACATAATAATATTTGGATTACATCTGCGAATAATATTGTACATTAATTTATACGACTCGGTCGAAATAAGTGGTAGTCGATTCCGCATCCTCGAGGTCGTATGTCTCTTACTGCTCTTTGTGGTTGTGGTTTCACATGAGGTATTTCATAAAAAAACGTCATGGATTGTGTTGCATTTGTTTTAAGAACCTCGCGTCATAGGTCCATATCGATGAACTCAAATCAGTGAAGTTCTTTAGATTGAGTTGGGTGTGCATGCCTTTGTAGTTTTGTTGTATTGGTTGTGTTGATGAGGTAATGGTCGGACGACAACATGGTTGGTTGAACGGTGACATTGGTGTGAACGATTAGGTGGGTAATAACTGATGTGATGTTTGGTAGTCCATGTTAATTTGTTTTATATTATGGTAAGAGTATGATGGGTTGGTTGGTTGAGTTCGTTGGTATTGGGACTGATAAAAAGTTTATGGTTATTGTTGGAATGAGGGTTGATATGGAATATGTTTTTGGTGTTATGGTTGTGTGAGTGGCACGTGTTGCTGGTAATTATTTTGAGATGGATTTTGAGTGTAAGTAGTGTGTTAGGTTGGAGGTTAGGTATTTGATGATGAAGTTTGTTGGCTCTAATCTATACTTATCCTTGTCAAACCCTAATTTTTTACCACAACATTCCACCTCCTTGTTGCTTACTTTTGTGTTTATGTTTATTACAGCTAACCAGTTTGTGTAGGTACATGAACGGCAAGATATAAACTCTTACAGCCGAGCATCAGAGGAACCTAACCAGTATATTCGAGTCCAAAGTTCACCAATCAAGAAGTCAAGCTGCCATGAAAGCGCTAAGTCTTAAGCTTTTTTGAAATGCAAGCTACGAGATTGAGTTCCTCCTAAGGCTTATATTGAAGTAGACAAGGTCTGAGTGCGAGTTCATATCATTTTGTTAAACAGTTACATCTCAAGGACTCGCATGATACATTTGAAAGAATTAGAAACGCATCTCAAGTTGGTTTTTTACATTGAATACAACTGGAATTATTTGACGACAACATACGATTAGATAATGCAGTCTCGCAACGCGTTAAGTCCATTCATCTAAACTAGCTTTGTATTAGAGTAATCATTATGCAAGGTTATTGGTAAAGCATTGGATTTCTACAGCTCTTGACACTGAAAATTATCATTGTTATTATTATCGTAATCTTCAACAAAGCTTAAAATGTCGGGCTTCTAGAGGACTAAACATGAGATTATTTGTCATAACAACACAAGAATACTATAACTAAGATGCCTACTAGAAAAGACAGGAAATCCTCCAAATTGATGCGTTCGAGTGACAACAATGAGCATCCCACTTTGTTTTGCCCTTCAGGACATTCACGAAGGGGGAAGTGTTAGAAGCCGAAGGAAATCTCAAGCCGTCAACAACTCCACCAAGATTCAAAGGCTCTTGAGCGTTTGAAATAGACAGTACGGAGATGGCTTGCACAAGCTTCCGTCATTTCTAGAGATACCAATTCATTGCCGGTGGGATTTCGTGATGTGCAACAGCAAGAAGACAATCTCGCGACAGCTCTCACAAGCCCCCTCATCAACCCTTGCAACAATAAAAGATTTGGTTAGAAAGGTACAAGAAGATAACAATTTAGTATCAATCAAGCTCTAATTACGAAAGTTAAGCGTCCATTAATACAAAACAGATTGATGCCCAAAGGAAGAGATGTCGGTTCTGTCACAAAAAGAGAAGGATTCTCCTCATAGGACATTGGAAATCAGGATGCAGCCCTTGGTCAAGAAATTACAACGAACAGACTGCGAGTAAATAACCAGATGTTAACTTCACTTCCACAAATTCTCCTACGAAGCTCTTCCTTTTTCTTCTGTAGCCTTCAAAGATGTTGTTTGGATGCTGGCAACCAGAACTAGCAGTGGACGTTTGGCTCTCCATGATGCCCGTGGAAAACCACAACCAGTTGGTGTTCTTCATGCATATTGGTGGCTCAGAGGTTGTTACAATCTTATGTTGGCAAAGATCAAAAAACCAGCTGCACTACTGAGACTGCTCTTGTGAGAGATTCTGTTGAAGACTCAGCCCTCATGCCTGATCCTTTACCTCCTGCAAATACAACAGCATTCTACATTGTTTACAACCATCAAACTTAGGATATTGTATTCTCAGCCTCATCCAAAGAGGAAGGTTATCATGCCAAGGAAAATTTGTGCCTTTAAGAGGCATGTACCTCTGCAGAACTCCTGCACGCAACTAGTCAAGGAAAAGCATTTTTGACGCTAGTAAACATGCTTCAATCAAAGCCTGTCCTGTTGTGGCCTGCACATAGGATCATATAGTTTTAACACATCAGAATCAGTTAATCTTGAAACAAGAATTTGAGCGTGATTTTCAGCATATGGATCAGTACCGGTCGTAAGAAGTGCACTCTTAGTAGCACAACGGCTTGTTTTCCAATCTTGACCAGTGGGAGATGAACTTCAACAACCTTGTCTCAAAATCATGATCTTACTCAAGAGATTTGTGAGACCAGCCTGTGTCCCCTGCAAAACCAGTTGCGCAATGAAAGTTTTCAAAGGAAATTGGAGAAGACGGTTACGATTAAATGAAGAAACAATAGCAGCAGCAGAATCCAGACCTTATGCAGATACCTAAAGAACGCCTCGCAGATGCTTTGATGGACTCCTCTTCTGCCAGTTGTCTAGAATTCACTCACCTGAAGTGCACTAAAGTTTCGATTACTACAGATGATATTATAAATGTTACCAAAGCTCAGTTTGGAGACTCACGCGGAAGAACTTGCTAAGGAGTTTCATCCTGCTCGCAGACAAGTTAATGTACTTTATGAAAAAATCTCGACATAGAATCGAAATTGAACGCCTGTTGCTGAAGAGAATTGAATTGCCTGGAAGAAGATATGACATTGTCCACAGGCCTTGACTACCTGAAGCCTGAATTAGTAGTGTACATGCATTTAAGCCACGACAATTGTTAAGTGTCATAAGTCACACGCATTACAGAAAGAATCATCAAGAATTACACCCACATAAGGAACATGACCAGACCTTTGAATAGATTGAAGCTCACACCAGTCACTTGAAACTTCGACAGCAATCTCGGTAAGCTGAAGCTCGCAGCAGGTGCAGAGCAATACCACACCCTGGTCAACTTGAGACACTTTACTCGACCCTGTCAAGAAAAATAGATAATTCTTTGAAGCAATTCAACAAGCAGGCCAAGAAAATAAATTAATTTGGTTGGAGGAAAACGCAGGCCAGAATCACTCACGTGCATCAGAACTTGTGAACTTTCTTAAGACATCCATCGAGTAACCAAAGCTATTGTCTCCTCCAAAAGACTTCTCACCAAGATCAGCACTAACTGCAACCGGTTTTCAGATGTCAAAACGAAGGCACAGCCTAGGTGGAAAACTCAACATGAAAGTCCCTGAAAGGATTCACGCA